AACTGCTGTAATCTCTCTTCTTGTTTATTTTGCTGTTCGTGCTGCCACTGTTGCAGGTTTTCTTGCAACTGCTGTTGTCTCTCTTCTTGTTTCTTTCTTTCTCCTCCAACAACTGCTGTAATCTCTCTTCTTGTTTATTTTGCTGTTCGAGCTGCCACTGTTGCAGGTTTTCTTGCAATTGCTGTTGTTTCTCTTCTTGTTTCTTTTCTTTCTCCTCCAACAACTGCTGTAATCTCTCTTCTTGTTATTTTGCTGTTCGAGCTGCCACTGTTGCAGGTTTTCTTGCAACTGCTGTTGTCTCTCTTCTTGTTTCTTTTCTTTTTTCTCCAACCACTACTGTAATCTCTCTTCTTGCTTATTTTCTCGTTTTTCTTGTTTCTTTTGCTGTTCTTGTATTGCTGCCATCAAATCTGCTAAGCTGTAGTTTGATTTGCAGCTTCTCGTTTCCATTTTTTTTCCGTCCCACTCTCTGACACCAATTTGTTATGTCTCCTTTCGTTAGTTAATTTTCCGTAAATTCGTTCCGACGAAACTTTAGCGACACAAGTCCTTTCTTAAATAAAACTGGTTTATTCTTTCTGAATATAACTTTGCGATACACTTAATTTCAACAGTCGCGCTATAATTCTCAACGAACTTCTCACGTGCTTAACAATATTCTCTCTGACTGCAGTTCAATTACTCATTACACTGTTGTCCCGTCACGTTGTGAACGTCTTATATATACAAGACTAACACATATCTAGTAAATGCTAGGGCATTCTTGAAGGAACAGGATATTTCTAGAAAGGGGTGGCGTGATACTAGTCACGTGACCTCGCTGACGCAACACAAGCATATTGTCCGACCTTATTTCCATCTATCAACTATTCAAAATAAGGAATACTGCTTAGATCTTCTTTAGTAAAAACTGAAAAGAATGCAGAATTTAATAACCCAGCCATCTCATAATCATCAGATACAGGCCTCATCCCTAGGGGCCCTACCCCAAAGTCCACAATCCTAACATTTTGTTTACCCTCAATGTACTTAAAGAAATCCTTACTGTTTTAGTTTATTCTACCTAAAACTTCTGATACCAGAGGATGACACCATTTGATATCAGACTCTGGAAATCTTGTGCGTTTTCTGTATACACATTGATTATATTTGTGGGTTTCTGTGTTCTTGTTGATATTGTTGCGTCAGCGAGTCACATGACTACTATGACGCAATGCTTCTAGAACTATCATGTACTTTGGCGAATGTTCAAGTTCTTAGTAGATATAGGGTAGGCGGATATATATAAGAGGGGACAACGTGACGCGGAAAGAGATAGATAGTGAGTAATTGATCTGCGGTCGGAGTATTATTGACGTTCGTTGCTATAGCGTTTGTTTAGCGCGATTGTTGAAGTTGAGTGTATCGGTTAAGTTATATTCGGAAAGAATAAACCAGTTTTATTAAGTAAAGGCTTGTGTCGCTTAAGTTTCGTAGTTACGGAAAATCAATTAAAAAACGGAGACGTAACAATATAATTCTTTCCACCTTTGTGAAAGATAGGTTGTTTTGTGTTAGTTCTTCTTTAATTTATTGTGTTTGGATGTTGTAGTGAATCCCCTGATTACAAAAGTTTTTGTTTGTTGTTTCATCCCTGGTAAGTGTAATGAAATTCTTCCAGGTTTGAAAGCATCCTTTGGCCAATCTAGAAGTAGTATGTTTAGATCAGCCGGCTCTGCACCTTTAGCTAAGCGTTTAATGGATGTTATTTGAATATTTGGCTTACATCTCCTGATTTCAACTGCTAACTCTAGTTTTTCATATGAGCCTGATATATCTTCAATTATTACGGTGTATTTTGGGGGTTCTTTTGTTGTTTGTTTTACAAGCGTTTTATTATACAGCATTGTATAAGTGAAATCCTATTCATATTACAAAAATTTCGGCGCGTGAGTATTAATGATTGGTCTAGGATTATGGCCAATGAGCGCTTTCCAGCAGTAAAATCTTATTGCGGAGAGCAACCAACCTCATGGTATCAGTGAAATCTATCCATATTAGAAAAATTTCGGTGCATGAATATTAATGATTGGTGTAGGATAACGACCAATGAGTGCTGTCCAGCTGTAAAATCTCATTGTGGAGAGTAACCAACCTTACTACGATCTGAACTTGGCATGTATAAATTTCACTTCACACAGTTTTGTGAGACTGAGATATAAACTTAAAACGTTAATGTTTCGAATTTTGGATCTCTTGGTCATTGGTAACTCTTTGTAATTACGAAGTTTGCATTTGAAGTTATTAGAATGTTATTTTTACTTTCATCATTTTTATTTCTTGAAATTCTTCCTATGTTATTTTGTGAGCCAAATATTTATTTCAAAGAGCAGTTTAATGTCGGAGGTAAGTATTACTAACTAAGTAAACTATGAAGCAAATCTACTACTCGCTACTACTGAGTACTACCAATACTAATCGTAATAATACATTACTACTACCAGTACTAGTAGGCCTATACTTGTTGTATTAGTACTAATAGTAGTACCAGTACTGTATAACACCATATCCAGTAGGAATATCTGTATCACTCGCAGTCACAAGTAAGTCTATGTTGATCATTCCGAATTAACTGATAGTGATACAAATTATAAGTTTCAGAAATGCAAGAAGAGGAAAAACTCAAAAAGTAACATTTCTGCTCGCGAAAGTCGATGAAGTCTTGAACTGTTGAAGGCTAAGCAGACTAATAATAATACTAATAATAACTAATATAATAAATTATGTAAATTGTACTGTAATTTGTAAATTAGTAACGTAACATTACCGGCAATATAGAAACCGAAGTTACATAGTTTAACAGTACTATACTAACATCAACAACCTTAACCTAGGTCGATATTCTTATTGCTGGTGATGAGAAAACTTTTTTCCCTTTTTACATTTTAGGAGTTCAGATTAAATAAGGCAATTGTAATGCAGTATAGCCGAAATGTTTGTGTTGGATCTGCTTTTTTCTAGGGAGCTATAACATTCTTGAAATAGAATACAGACATTGCTATGATATAAAAAGTCTGTATAATCTATGACAATATAAAAGAAGCTTAAAAAAGCTAGGAAAAGAGCTTTAGAACTAAAAGTTATAGTTATAATTTCAATTATATATATATTTGTGTGTATATGGAATACAATATACCCTGATAATAAAAATTCCACATTTCAAAAACTTTGAAAGACTAAAGTTTGAATGATCTTATGGGATTAAGTAAGCCACGTGTAATCAGAGTTTTTATTCAGAATGTTCTTCCTGGCATTGTCAAGCTCTATGTTTGTCATATAAATTGTAATTTGTACTTGGAAGTTCTTATAATATATTAATTCTGTTACTACAGATAAATGGGAAAAAAGATGGGTTCAGTCTGAGCACAAAGGAAAAGAGTGGGGTAGATTTGACCTCACAGCTGGAAAATTCTTTGGTAATGAAGAGCTCAACAAAGGTAAGAAACTACTTGATAGAACACTTTGAAAAATATCCGCCTGTTCTTGTTTGTACAAGACCAAGTTGGTATGAATGAGTTTTTATGAAAGATTTATTTTCTCTGTGTTTGAAGTTAGAAATACTGGTTGTTAAAAACTTCTAGTTTCAGAGGACCAAAATTTGAAGTTGTATATTTATAACATGAGTTTTTCTTTGTATCATTTTGCTGTGATTACATTTATTTTATAAATTAAAAAAGTGACATGTCAGCACAAGTTCTCATCTTACCTATTGGTTGACAACTAGATCACGAAAGTTAAGTGATAATCGTACAGAGAGGTGTAATTGATCTATTATAATTATATAAAAATATGACATGTTTAGTGGATTGCAGTTTTGAATTATGTGAAGAATGTGTATCGTGAATCAAAAAATAGCTCTAACATTAGAGCAGTTCTTATAATGTTACAAACTGCATTTTAGTTGTACATTTTACAAGGTTTTGAGATGCATTTGTGAATACATTAATATTTTTCTACTCTCTAGGCCTATACGTTTTTTTTTCAGTTTTGCACTTGTGAAACATGTGCAATTTATAATTCCTGTTTTCATCTGTATAATAATAATAATAATATTTCTCTGAGAAGATAATTAGAAAAACTTCCATTATTCTTCAGTAACATGTAAGATTGCACAAAAACATCGTCTAAATTGTGATTATCATTGTTGTATTATTACTAATAATTGTTATTATTACTAATGCATAGAAATTAATAGTGTTTACAGTTACCAATTGGATATATTAAGTAAAGAGACAACTAAATAATTTTCAGGAATCCAGACATCCCAGGATGCTAGTTTCTATGGTTTGTCTGCAAAGTTTGATGCATTCAGCAATGAAAATAAGCCTTTAGTAGTACAGTTTTCAATAAAACATGAACAAAACATTGACTGCGGTGGTGGCTATATCAAACTTTTTGACTGCAGTTTAGACCAGAAGGACTTGCATGGAGAATCCCCTTATCTGATTATGTTTGGTGAGATAATGATTTGATGTTATATTACATGTTACACTTTAATATAATGTGTGTGTGTGTTATTTTACCATAAAAATGACAGTTTTTAAGTTCAGAATTTTAAAATTAATGTGAAAATTCTTACATAAACATATTCCAGAAATTATGAAAACTATTAGTTGTAAATAGGCGATTAAAATCAGCACTGTAAAACAATAATGAATTTAATATCAATTTAGCCTTAAAATTATTTTTATTTTAAAATTCCATTGCAATTTTCCAGTCGTAACCTTAAAGCATTGGGGATATCCCATCTATCAGAGAAAATCCAAATGCAGATGGGAAAAATTAGTTAGCAGTGATGGAAAATTAAATAAGGAGTGCTTATACCTATAATGTCTCAACTCCTACTACCTTTCACTGTCTGCAGCCAGTTTTTAATTTTACAACTCATCAGTTTAACATTTTATATTATACATAAAATGTTTTGATTTTTGGCATGGTATACTACAGTGGTCAAAACATCTAAAAAAAATTAACTTTTGAAGTGGTGAATTATTTTATTAAGCTTGTAAAGATTTTGTGACTTACATAATGTGTATCATATTGTGCCCATGCTGCAGGTGTACATTATCACTATTCACATATAAATAAAAAAAAATTTTTTAAATTTAGGTCCAGACATCTGTGGTCCTGGAACCAAGAAAGTTCATGTTATATTTAACTACAAAGGAAAGAACTTGCTTATTAACAAGGACATTCGTTGTAAAGTAAGAAAATTTCCTTTAATAGATGTAATTTTAAAGGAAATTGACCTTGTGTTCTTTTAGTATAGATAAATAATTTTGTATTTTTGGGTGATTTTATGAAAATAAAACAGAAAAATGTTGTAATACATTCAAAGTTAATTCGTCTTTGTGAATTTAAATATAGTAAATCTAACTGACAATTAGTTTATTGTCGGTAGTTTATCAGTAACATTATGTTCCATTTGGGATAGCTAAATAACATAAATACTTGATTGATCAGATTGAAGTATATAAAAAAAATTCTAAACATTTCAGTCTAAATCTCTGCTGTTCACTATGAGAGGCTAGACCATCATCTTTAAAACAACTTAGACAGTTTTAGTTTGGACATTTAGCTGAAGTTTATTAGCATACTGCAAATAATTTTTCTTACAATATTCTTTTATAAGTTTAGTAGCAAATCCATTTAGTACTTTTACAGTGACAAAGAAAAAACTCTTAATTTAGTAATTAAAAATAACTCACAATATTTAGTATTTTCTTTCAAACTACTTATGTATTTCATCAGTAGACCAGTTGTTTTATGATTTGGTTTTGCTTTTTGAATTGCAGTTCAGACTTTTTTTAAAATTAAGCAATATATTAAGTTATCAAAGTCACAACCAGTGGAAGAGTAAGATGATTCAGATGCCCTTCTGTTTTTTCATACTGTAAAGAATTTTCAGTTTACAGTGTATTCTACAAGTGTTTAGTTGTTTGCTCTGACAGGATGATATTTACACCCATGTTTATACATTGATTGTTCGTCCGGATAATACTTATGAAGTAAAGATTGACAATGAGAAGGTTGAAAGTGGAGAACTAGAAAAAGATTGGAACTTTCTGCCTCCAAAAAAGATCAAGGATCCTGAAACTAAGAAACCCGAGGACTGGGATGATAGGGCCAAGATTGATGATCCTGATGACACAAAGCCTGATGTAAGACTTGTATCTCTACTGAAACGACTTACTGAATATTCTCAAAAGTACTTTAAATTTATCTTGAACTACAGTAAGCCTAGATTTCATATAGGTAACTTAATGCTTTAATATTGGAATATTTTTTGCATTATGTTAGTTAACACATCCAATATTTCCTGCTAAGTGTAGTGCGAAACTATTGCAAATACTGCAGAATTTGTTAGTTAAGTATTAAAAGAATGTTACAGAATCACTAACTTGCATAGCTAACATAAACAAAAATGTATATTGATGAATTGTAAAGACGTCTACAAGTCAAAATGTCTTGTTTGTTCAATGTTGCGTGCACTGTTGATTTGTAAAATAGTTTTTTTCATAGAATTCTAAGAACCCATGAGTGAAAGCAAAGGAAAATATTTTATAATATGTCAGTCACACTACCTATGTTACATTCAGAGCCAATGAGGCTTTTCAGCCAGTACTAGGGCTCATTAGGCCAGCTAGGATATATATAAAATCAGTTTTCAAGAACAACAACCATTAGGATGCTAATCAGATTTTGCAAGTGAATTGTAATTATTATCAACTTTATTTAAGTTATTTAAATCAAATTTTTAGGGTAATAATTAATAAATCTGAACTAATGAGCATAATTTCAGCTTCCTGAAGTGCTTTTTCTACTCTTACACATAAAACTAGTTAATATTCAATATAAGGAATAGATACTTATTTGGTATTTTATTCAAGTTAGGATTTTCTTCTATTTCAAACACTTTGAACAGAACATTATCTCAGTTAAAAGTGTTAACAATTATGTAATATTAACATGTTAGTTAATGGTCAGATTTATAAAATCTCAAAACCCTGAAATTTGCTTGAATATTTTTTATATGAATGTACTATAGGATTTCTGTAGTCATACAGAAGAACTGTGTGGTTCCAATGTGTACACATATTTGTTTAACAGAGCCAGTAAAGCACTTTGAGTTCATCTTGTTATATATTCTTTTCTTAAGATTTTACATTTAATCTGCCTCTGTTATTACATTTCCGTCATCTAAATCACTCTGAAGGACATGATACTTTCTAGTTAACATTACTGACAATTTATAGTAGACTTGAAATCATTAATATTAACTATAATCCTGTTGTTGTGTGTGTGTGACAATAAAGAGTGCTTCAGTTACAATGGAAGTTTGAACATCACATTTTTTCTGCCTCATAATTTTATCAATATGTGTTTGTATTGCATATGTTATTTAGTTTAGGTTCAAAATAGTCATTGTAATAACAGGCTGGGTTCTGTGTCAACTCAATGGTTGTATAAAGTAGATTTTGGGTGTGCAGGTGTTCTGTACATGTTAATTAAAATTAATAGCTAAAGATAAAAATATTCTAGATGGATTAAAGATATAATAATTAGTCTATATGTTGAATAACTTTTATGTTAGTTTTTCATTTGGCAATGATCATGTGAGAATAAACAACAAAATAAACAATATAATTATTAGCATATCCAATACTTGTTAAATCAAAAAGATGTTTTAAGAAAATATAATTTGCATAAAAAGGTTTAATGCTTCCTTTGTTTAAAATATAGACAAGCATGTGCTTTTAATAACTGTTGAAGATAAGACCAATGGCCAGAGAAGAGTTAGTTAATAGTTTTTCTTCCTGTGTGAATAGGATTGGGATCAGCCAGAATATATCCCAGATCCAGATGCTACAAAACCAGAAGATTGGGATGATGAAATGGATGGTGAATGGGAACCTCCAATGATTAACAACCCTGCTTACAAGGGTGAATGGAAACCACGACAAATTGACAATCCTAATTATAAGGGACAGTGGATTCACCCTGAAATAGATAATCCTGAGTATATAGCAGATTCTAATCTCTATCAGTATTCTGAAATATGTATTGTTGGAATTGATATTTGGCAGGTGAATTTTATCTTGGTCTTCTATTATATTCTATAATTAAACTATAGTTGATGAGTTAATTTAACTTGTGCTAGCTTTTACCCTTTCCAGGATAACTTAATTATGAAATCAAAAAGTACATAATGTTATTGTTGAATAACTTTCAGGAAAGTTATATAATAAATGGATGTACTTTTTAAATACAGTAAAGTTGTAGATGTGGGAGACTTGTATTATGCCTTGTTTTCCACTTCATCAAATGTGAAGTAAAATTTCACTTTGCAAGCATTTGATAATTTTCTGAAATGAACAAATAAGTGCCCCCCCCCAAGTGATCACAGTGGTATGTATGTGGATTTATACTCCTAGAAACTGGGTTTCAATACCTGTGGTGGGCAGAGCACAGATAGCCCTTTGTGTAGCTTTGTGCTTAATAATAAACATCAACAAAAAAGTGAATTTACCATAAACAAAATAGTCATTACTTGGTATGTAAAGAGTACTTGATGTTATTCTCTTTTGCTGGTATTGTCACTAATACTGTATGAATGACTAGATTCATTCATTTTTATTAGAACATTGGCAATTATGTTAGTTGTGAGAGCAGTGAGGGAGAGGTTCTGAATATGTGTACATTCATTCTATTAAAAACCTATTCATAGATGGCGGTACAAATTGTCTACATTTTGTCTTAATAAAGTATAATTTTTTCTTAAGCAACACTAAGTTATTTGTGATAGTCTTTTTTAACATTTGATGCTTAATCCAAAAGAAATACATATTTTAAAGTATTATTTGACCAAGCTAGATTGAAATATTGAAATTAAATGCTATTCCAAGTCTTAATGTATACAAAATTGTTGGCATAATCGGTTTTAATCATCTTACTGGTCTACAAAGTTGGTGTTCCTAATAAAAATATATACAAATTAGCCAAAAAAAAAAAAACAACAGTAAAATGAAACTCCAGAGAAACCTTAGGGTTCATTTACTAAGGAATGTAGCATATCATTTGTGTATAAAGAAGTTGACGTAATTCATCCATATTTATTGAGCTAAATTTCAACTCTCTAGGGGTTATCATTGAACACTGTGATAACTCCTGAAGAGGATTGAAAACTAGCTCCAATTAATGTAGATGCAATATATCACATCAAACATTTGTGGTTTATTTAATTTTCAATCAAAATTAAAGAACGGCAATACAAATTTCTATGATCTGTAAAACCACAAATCAGTATATTAAATTGTCTGCATAATTACACATTTTAGAAGCAAAATCTAAATTTTAGAAAACTTAGTCTCAAGTGTTTTGAGCTATTTAAATTTTGATTATTATTATGTTATTAAGAGAGAGGTGACACTAATTGTTTGTTCTTACTTGTAGTGCAAGTGATCTAGTCAAACATAAATTAATTTTTTAATAAGACTACATGAAAGATTGTTAAAAGTTTGGAAAGACTGTTTTTTTGAACTTATGATAAATATTTGCAGTTACCTAACTATTGCAGGTTAAATCTGGAACAATTTTTGATGACATACTTGTGACTGATGACCCAGAATATGCACAGGAATTTGCAGAAGAAACATGGGGAGCTACAAAGGTAAATGTTTGTTTCTATTTAACTTGGATATAGAATTGCAGTTACTGTGATTGAAAGATTTTGGATTGCTATAGAAAATGCCTTTTGCCCCTGGATGTGAAAAGGAGCAGACAAGCATAACCTAGTGTAGGACTTTAGTCATATACCATACCAATATACATGTTCATACAGCAAAGTATTTAATGTTTTGGGTAGGATAAACTTTCATTCTCTGAAAAATTTAACTGTGTACTTCTAAATTGCTATTAATGGTGGTTATAATTTCTAAAAGTAGATGTAACTTATTTTGTAAATTAAGGTTAACGTTGTTTGTGTTAAGTTAGTTCACAGGTTAATTGTTGTAAATAATTTTTATGTAAAAATAAGGATGCTGAAAAGAAGATGAAGGATAACCAGGATAAAGAAGACAGAAAAAGGACTGATGAAGAAGCAAAAAAGACCAAGGTGAATGAGGTTGAAGATGATGAAGAGGAGGAGGAAGAAGAGATCTCGGAAGCAAATGAGGTATGTATTTTAATATTTATGAATGTTAATTCCAATTTTTAGTACTGTATTTACAAATTACATCAGTAAAGATATAATCAGATCCTCACGTACAGTTATTGTGAAAGTTGTGTTCTTATTGTGAGGAGAGTACTTTTATTTAAAATTATGTTCTGTGAAAAAAAAATGATTGTTGCGCATCACTGCAATTATTTTCCTATCTGAATCTTGAATTTCCAAAGCGTGAAATTTTGTTATGGATTTTTGTTTGTGGTGTCATTCAATAGATGGCGCAACATTGTATTTATTATTTTGGTCAAGTACATAGATACATCCATTATAGTAAGATGATGGTTAATTTATGGAGATAGTTTTTTTTTTAATATCTGTTCTAACACACCTTTCTTTTGTTTTGGCTTTTTTGTTTATTATCAGGGATTTGAACTGGAATGATATTGAGTTATGTTCTGGAACAAAATAATATAAAAGTTTTTGCTTATTGGTTAATAACCTTTTTTTCACTCTCTTTCAACTTATCTTCATCCATTTTCATTATACTTTGAAACATGCACTTTACAGAGTTACATTCAAAATTAATTAAACAACTTTATTATCAATGTATATCAATAAACTTGGCATCAAAATGTAGTTTAAATTTTAATATTATGTAAGTTTTTAATTCCTAATTTAAAAAGGTAATATTTAAATAAATTTCTTAATCTTCACCTCTCTGTTGTATGATGCCTCTCTACTCTGAATTCTCCATTTTAGATTTTTTTTTCTTATATGGGTTTTAGAATGTCCACCAATTGATAACATCAACTACAGATATTGGCAGGCAAAAATTTAAAACGAGAGCCTCCTCTCTTATTTATTTCCTGATATATCAATAAATTCAAGAAATCCAGTTCAAATCACTGTTTATTATTATCAATATGTACTCATTATGCAACAGATAATTGTACTGGTTTCATTTCGTGTCTAACATGTATATATTTTTCTAATATGAGGCATAGAAAAACATTCAAGAAACATAAAGAAGCTATGGATAACATTCTGACAATACTAAGTTTAGAGTATTGTTGTATGAATACAAACTTGGGTGCAAACTTTCAGTCATACATAGCCATCTACGACTGTTTTGTTTCAAAAATATATAAATAGTATACATGTGTTATGTACAGAAGTTTGATCCTAATGTTTGTTATGGGGCAGATTTTATTTTTCACATATTTTCTAATTTATGTATTTACTTGATTACTTCAAGACTATAAAATGGGACATAAGTAGTGTATTTACCTAGTTAAAAACTTCGCTTGAAATTAAACTATATTTACTGGGTGTAATAATTCCTGTCTGTAGTAGTTATAATGGATAAGATTTAATTGTTTGTAGCAATTTATGGTTGGGTTATTAAAAAAAGAAAATTATTAGATTATCTTGGACAGTTTTCAGAAGTCATTATTTTGTTGTTGTTGTTTTTTTCAGGAATTTCATGAACATCAAGAGTTGTAATATATTGTGGCTTGCTTCACTTACTTGCTCTGGAGCACAAATCAAACTGAGGCTTAATATGAAAGTTTATGATCTTTAGCAATATCTAAATATTTATTTACCTGGTGAATATTTAAAAGCTTTAAACAGTCATTCCTGGAAGTATGTCATTCTGTACTGTGAAAATTAAATATGGGAATAAACAATTTTTTGTTACATTTTCAATTCTTGTAATTTTGTTATTTAATTAATTTTGGAAGTATCAAAGAAAGAACCATTTTTCTAGCAGTTAGAATAACATTAATAATATTAAATTGCAACACACACACACCTGTTTGAACAAAGCAAGCTAACTTGTATTAAAATTAAACTTGTAGTATGGAAAATGCATTAAAAAAGGGTATTAAAAATATTAACATGATATTTTTCTAGGTTAAAACTTTCATTATAATTAATAAGTTACATAACTAGTACACTATAATAGTAAGAAGGGCAAACGTTCTTATTAAAAACATTAATATTTTATAGCAGTGTGTAAGAATAAGTAAGTTGACAGAATGTGAAATGCAGTTCATTGTGTCTTTGGTCCAACATCTTATTTTTGAACGACAATGTATTTCTAATTACTTACATCTTTGATCCGTCATTTTGCTCATGATTACATCATATTCCTAATTTCCCAACACCTACTGATTTTCATCCTTGATCTTGTATTTTACTCTTGTTTAGCATCATTACTTTTTTTTTAGTATTATAAATTTAGATTTTTTTTTATTCTTTGTGTTTCTTGTGATTGGAATCACTAGTTTGTCATCTTTCAGCTGTTGAAATTCTGTGGTACTCTCAAGTACACTGATAACCTGACAGATAAAAAAAGGTAACTGCAATAACTAGAGAAATGGCATAAAATGTTTAAACTGAGTTTCTTACTTGACTGAATTAAAGGAAAAGAATGGACACAAATTATTGGGGAAAACAAGCCATTCTTTATTATATAAGTTTCAAAACAGTAGGTAGGTGATAAGGTGATAGTGGTACCTGCATTTTTAAACTTCATAACATTTACACATGTTGAATGAAAAGCTTGAAATATATTTTTGTCATATAAAAATTGACAGTTTAAGTTGGACTATATTTATTGCTTGTTTACACTCACTGGACTTCAGTTTTGCTACAGTAATTTTATTTGATCTTTTTAAATAAAAGTAACATCAGTATTTTGTTACATGTGTATATGACATTTCTAGTGGTTTTCAACATGAAATTGAGATTGTTAAAATATTTCTACAAAGAAATTTTTCTGTTGTCAGTTGTGAACAATGTAATCATTTCTCATAAGTTAATAACCAAAGTAAAGAATTGTGACCCTAAATTCTGATAACTCTGTTTTGCCTTTTCTTCTGGATCTTGTACCTATAGTATGTACTACTATGAGTGACGTAATAAAATTTTTCTGTTAATTAGTAATTTGTCTTTGCGTAATATGTTGTAATTTCAAAATATTGACTGATAGAGTGATACAAATCAAGAAGTTTTTAAGAAATTTTGAAACTCAACATTCCTTACTCTAAGCCCCCAGTGGCACAGCGGTATGCCTGCGGACTTACAATGCTAGAATCCGGGTTTCGATACAGGTGGTGGGCAGAGCACAGATAGCCCTTGTGTAGCTTTGTGCATAATTAAAAACAAACAAACAAACCTTACTATAAATTAATTCTTCATATGTTGTAATCATATTAAGAAGATAAAGCAAATTGTTTTTATCACAAAACTCCTTACTAACACACAGTATAATATATTTTAAGTATGATGAAGCTGTGTATATCTAACTTTATTCTTTCAGTTTCTGCAAATATTTATTTTTAGGAACTAGTCTTCATGAGAGGTACTAAGGTGAAACCTCAACGATTTCAGACACTTAACTAATTGATATAAGTACAGCTCATTAGGCTTAAGTTTTGTTTATTATTATATTACAATTACTTTACTACTTACTGGCATTTTGTTGGTTTCATAACATTTGTATAGCCACTTCCTGATGCTGCTATGGCTTTAAGCTCACATCTCCTCTGATTGATGTTGGTTCCTGTTATTCCCATAAGAAAAAAAAGTTTCTTTTTTTCTTTTTTTTGGATCCTGTAAGCATTGGAATATCATTACCTAGTTCATGTTATTGGTACTTTAAGCAACTTGTTGGCTTAACAGCCAAGTTGAAGTAACCTAAGAATCAGGGACAGCCATTAATTTAGAGCTTTTGGCCAGAGATGGAGGGCAACTGATCTGGAACACCCACTGCCTACATAACTACTGTTAATCAAATTGTGAGACTGACTGTCTCAATATCAACATCTCCACAGCTGAAAGTGAGGATCATGTTCAGTGACATATCATGGTTCAAACGTTTAACCTTCTGGTCAGCAGCTCAGCATACTAACTACTAGGCAATGCTTGACCCAAAATACGTTTTACATTTTTAATATATTATATAGGATGATAGTCCTTTTCTTATACTGGCATTTTTACACTGCTATTTTCTATTGTTTGCAAAAGTATCTTTGTACTGTTATGTATAGGTATCTCATTTTAATTTAAGCCTTGTATTGGAAAGTATGAGCTTGCTATCCACTACAACGTCCATGTATGTGTAAGTCTTGCCTGTTTTTTACCTGAGGGTGTCATGGTTGAAGAACTGTCATATTTCTCTTTTGCATAATTGAAAAATAATATATCTATATTCAGGTGATTTTTTTTTTTTAATATTCATGTGTGGTATCTTTATTCAGGTGATTTTTTTTTTAAATATTCATGTGTGGTATCTTTATTCAGGTGATTTTGTTAAAAATATTCATGCGTGGTATCTGTGTTTAATTGCTTAATGCTTATGAATAAGTTATGAAGGGTTGTAAGGTTGCACAGATTATCTGTCTTAGACAAAGGTTACATACAATTGTTGTCATTCTATAGAGATTTATACTTGTTTGATCCTGTTTCTATATTATTACTTTCCTGGGGTGTGGGTTATACTCACTGAGAGGTGGTACAGAGATATGTGCAAGTTAGTATGAGCTGGGTGTTTATTTATCTTGAATAGGAATGATTTTTGATGTGGGTAATTTAGGATTATGGGATATTGCAAAAGAAACATTCATTTCGACTTTACAGTATAATTTATCATGACTCTTGCTCCAGGCTTAGTATAATGTAGTGCAGTCTGCTTTCTTCACCAACCAACTGAACTAATTAGAACAAACATCAAGACCAGTCAAAAAAAAAAAGACTCCAGTTTGACTCCACATGTGTAAAAAATATAGATTTGTTTTCCTTTTTTCACAGTTGTATTTCAAGTTTTTTGTTTCTTTTTGGTGACTATGTAAAATGTTTTTTTTGCAAAACATTTCCCGAACAGTTGCTTATTGCAAATTACTTACAGCTTCACTGTTGGAAACCTGTGTACCTGAATACCATAGTTATGTAAGCATATTTTATATGGTTCCTAAACTTAACTGGATATTTCCTAACTTTTTAATACATAATATTTGTTATCCCTGATTTATAAACATTTCCATACATTTATAAAGTTTCAGTTTATTGAAGGTTGCAATTAGTTTTTTAAAACAAAGATTAATTTGTTTATTTGATTTTGCATTTAATTAAGCTTATGATAAATTGTAATTGGAGATTTTACTGTAGAAATACTTTACTTTGTATATAGTTTTTGTGGACATTTTTGTTCATGTTTAATTTGATAATACAAAAACAATAACGAATTTATAGTGTATGTTCAAAAATATAAGCATCAAAAACAGTGCTTCTTGATTTTTCTTTTGAGTCTCAAAGATGAAGAGCAGAGTTTTGATTCCTGGATTCACACACTTACATATATTTGTATGTTGTATTTATAACAAATATATTGTTAAGACAACGCAGGTCAGTAACGCTTGTATCACGCCACTTTCTTCTCGAACCTTCATGAAATATCAGGAGTTTACTAGATCTCGGT